TCAGCCTCACTCCATTGGTGATGCCTGCTCTGACCCTCCTGCCTACCTGTAGTCAACCTCACTCCATTGGTGATGCCTGCTCTGACTCTCCTACCTCCGTATAGTCAGCCCTCACTCCATTGGTGATGCCTGCTCTGACCCTCCTGCCTACCTGTAGTCAACCTCACTCCATTGGTGATGCCTGCTCTGACTCTCCTACCTCCCTATAGTCAGCCTCACTCCATTGGTGATGCCTGCTCTGATCCTCCTGCCTCCTTATAGTCAAACTCACCCCATTAGTTATGCCTGCTCTGACCCTCCTGCCTCCTCGTAGTGAACCTCACCCCATTGGTGATGCCTGCTCTGACCCTCCTGCCTCCTTATAGTGAACTTCACCCCACTGGTGATGCCTGCTCTAACCCCCCTGCCTCCTTGTGGTGAACCTCACCCCACTGGTAATGCCTGCTCTGACCCTCCTGCCTCCTTTTAGTAAACTTCACCCCATTGGTGATGCCTGCTCTGACCTTCCTGCCTCCTCGTAGTGAGCCTCACCCCACTGGTGATGCCTGCTCTGACCCCCCCCAACCGCATTGGTGATGCCTGCTCTGACCCCCCCACCGCATTAGTGATGCCTGCTCTGATCCCCCCCCCCCCCCGCTTCCCCGTAGTGAACCTCACTGTATTGGTGATGCCTATTCTGACCCTCCTGCCTACTCGTAGGGAACCTCACCCCACTGTGTGATGCCTGCTCTGACCCCCTCCTGCCTCCTTGTAGTGAACCTCACTGCATTGGCAATGCCTGTTCTGACCCTCCTGCCTCCTCGTAGTGAACCTCACCCCACTGGTGATGCCTGCTCTGACCTTCCTGCCTCCTTGTAATGAACCTCACTTTGTTTATGCCTGCTCTGACCCTCCTGCCACCTCTTAGTGAACCTCAATCCATTTGGCGATTCCTGCCTCCTCGTAGTGAGGAAAAAAAATATTGCCTCCCAGCTCCTGAGTGTGCACAGCAACATCAAATAACAAATCCATGAAGATGCTCACAGCTCTCTTAGCTCTGGAACTCTATTTGATGATGTTATGGACACTCTGGAGCCTGAAGACTGCATCCTATCAGTGTGAGTCACGCAGGGATGCAGGAAGTAGCGGTAAGCTCATTGTGCTTTTGAAGACCACCAGCTCATCATGTTGGGGTGCCAATAGGAATTGGGGGGCATGGGCGTGTTAGCAGCAAGTTCATTGCACCCATAAAAAGCACCAAAAACCACATTTATGTCTCCTTTTTGATGCATTTGGTTTATGTGTCAAACCTTTGCTCAGCACCTTCTGCTAAGGCCAAAGAATGTCAGCCCCTTTATGCTTGCTGCATATTTCTATTGGCCCGCGAGGCAGCCCGTCATGCGGAGGTGTCAATAGGGATTTATAGGGAAGGAAGAGGGGGCAGGGGATGCAGGAAGTAGCAGTAGCCCATTGCATTGTTGAAGACCACCAAAAACCACCTTAATTCCTCCTTATCAACTGACTAAGATGCCAAAATTTTGCTCAGCTTTCTGCCAAGGCCAATTGACTGCCCGCCCCTTTCTGCTTGCGGTGTATTCCTATTGGCCAGTGAAGCAGCTCATCATGTTGGGTGCCAATAGGAATTTAGGGGGAAGGGGGAGTTAATGGTAAGTTCACCGCACCCTTAAAAAAAAAAAAATCCCATTCGTTTTCTGTACTCTGCTCAGATCCGGCAGTTCTCTGTCTCCCCCTCCTGTCCATGTCCCCAATGCAGTTGGGGATTTTGCAGAGCAGTGTTGGCAGCTACTGCACATGCTCAGTTGTCCGTGTATTTCTATTCTAAGCATTCCCTTTCTATCTGAGCAGCCCAAGTGACTACAGAGTCACACATGTGGGCGTATACAAAGTGGTAAATGACAGCTTACTCCCTCCCTTCTCCTTCACACCCACTAACCATCTAAACACAATGGGGGCAGGATATTACATCTTGATTGATAGAGGCATCACCTCCCTGTTACTCTAAGACACAGGCTGGAGGGGTGTGACACAGCCTGTGAGTGGCAGAGATCAGCCCACACCATGTTATTGCCAAAAATAATAAAGATTTGCACTCAAATATTTGTATGACAATTGAATACATTTTTCTTGGTATTATTTTCACTCTGTATCTCAGATACTTTTTTTTGTACATTTTTTTTTAACACGTGACCAGCAGCAGAGGACTTGAAGCTCCTCCTGCCATTCCTTTCACTGTACAGTCACAGGCTGGGGGCTGGTCCGGGATGACCTGGGGTCAGAGGAAGTTACATAGTTAGTCTAGCTGAAAAAAGACAAAAGTCCATTCAGTTCAAACTATGTAACTTCCTCTGACCCCAGGTCATCCCGGACCAGCCCCCAGCCTGTGACTGTACAGTGAAAGGAATGGCAGAACAGTGATGCGCTCACCTCTCTGTCACCCTGTTTCTCTCCTCCTATCAGCATGAGCGGATTGGCAAAAAAGAAGAAGAAAAGCCCCTCTAAG